ATCAATTTGAGCAAGATCATGTTCCTCCTTCAATGGTTTCATGAAAATATCATGTTGCAAATGCGCATTTGTCATCGTGTCTTTCTTCATTTTAGACCATTAAAATTTTATCTATATTTAAACAATAATTGACGGTATCATTTTACTTACTTTTGCTACAACACTTCTCCTATAAATATATTTTTATTGAATCGAGTAGGCCCGTTGATTATAGTAAGGAACCAATGCAAAATAAATTTTAGGGGAAAATATTGTTTAAACATTAATGAAACGATAAAACCATTGTTAAAACCGGCGGTTTTATTTTTCGTAAAAAAAACCAGATCCCCCCCCCCCTAAATATTCTATGTGTTTGTTACTCACAGGAATGTGAAGGTTTTTCACATAATGCGATTCAAATTGATAAGATAATGAGAAGATTGTGGAAGAAAATAAAATCCGGGTCTATTGTGTGAGCCTACAGTGCCATTCATGTTTTCGCTCTGCGACCCCGCCAAGCGAAAAGTCGGGAATAAGCTGTGAAAACACGCTAATTAGCAGGATCGCGGGGCGAAGTTTATTAAATGAAACTTCGCCCCGCGGGCTGAAGAGCGAAATTTTAGAAGGAAAATGACAGAGAAAGGCTAGATCACACGCTAATTCAATAAACCTTCGCCCCACGCTTATAAGCGGAAGCGGTCGAAGTAAATAAATAAAACGTCAACCCGAGGCGTCGCCGTGCGTGTTTTAAGAAATAAAACAGCGGGGGTGCGGAGCGAAAACCCGCTTATTAGTGATGGTCCGATTAAACAAATAAAACGTCGCGAGATTTTCGAGGAAAAAAAAAAACGGTTGGGGCGCGTAGCAAAACACGCTTATTGGCGAGGGCGAGCTCACACTTATGAGCGTTTAACTTTACCCCGCGTTGCCGCTAATTAGCGTTTAACTTTGCCCCGCGCCCCCGATATAAGCGTCTTTTCGTTTCGCGCCCATCTTTAATTTCTTTAATCTCGCTCCCTGCGAGCGAACTTTTAACTATTTAACTTTACGCACGGCGGGGTTACGGGGTGAAACATGAATGGTACAAAGCAGCCACCATAAATACGTATATGTGCCTGGCAATCTGAATCATTGCTATCGGGTATTGTCAGGTAAAATATTTTTTTCTTAAAATTTGATTTTTCACCAAAATATGCCATATAAAAATAGAGAAAACAGAATCACTTAAGAACGTCCAACGCTCAAAATTGAAATTTTTCAGGCTTGTTGTGATTGACCCTGTCCATAGAACAGGTGTGACTGAAGCTACTTTTCACGCCCCCTAGTACAGGCTCAATCGAATTAAGTTTTATATGAGTAACTATTATATTCCACCGTAGTTTTGTTTCCTTTTAGTATATAACAACGAAGGAGAAGTTAAAGTACTGAAATTGTATCAAATATTATATTGATATTTCCTTTTCCGTCCGTGAAACAACAGTTACGATAAATCATCACTCTTCCCCTTTCTGATTTCCGTTGTGCACTCATCACTTCTTTTTGCTCATTAGATAACGAGGCATGTGTTTTATCTACATTTTTTACGGCAAGATCCATTGATTCCTTTGTGAAAACCGATTACTCAAAGATTTTTGTTTTTGTTTTTGGTTTTCTGATAGTAGCGTGGGCTGTTTGTAGTAAAGTGTACAACGGAATATTAAATTATGTGGTTTTCCGAAGACATTTGAAGACATTTGTCTTAGCAACGTGAGTGGAATCACGTGTTTGTTCGTGTGCCTATTAAGCGTTGGAGTGTTTTGATGTGAAGTATTTGGAGAAATAAATTTTCTTTTTTTAAAGTGAAATTGATACAACCGTGGGAGAATATACGAGTATTAATTGAATGAAATAATCGAGAAGACAGTTTCATTGATATGTTTCTTATGCCACATAGAACTGCCTGCCAGACATTTTAGATAATAAAACATTTTTTTTTGTAATTCGGAGAAGATACTTCATGACAATATCAATGTTTTGCAAGTAATGCTGACAATAAAGAAAGTTGTTTACAATATTATTTTAAATATATTCAGCGATATATGTACTTTAATATGATGATGATGATGATGATAATGATGATGATGACTAATAATAATAATGATAATGATGAAATATAATAATAATGATTATGATGACTTATAAAAATAATGATCATGGTGACGACAATGTTGATGTTGTTGTTGTTGTTGTTGATGATGATGATAATGATGGTAACAACAAAAATGATAATGATGGTGATAGAAAATAAGTCTCATAAAAACCGCTGTATGTACACATCTTCAGATGTTTCTAAATTCAAAATTTCACCATTTCATAAATAAATATTGCATTTTCTAAAGCCGGGCGTGGACGGTAGTTGCACTTAACAGTTCGGTCCATGAAAAGGCTCCATCAAACCGAGCCTGCATCATTTTCAATTTTGCCGTTTTGGACTTTCTTTAGGGATTCCTATTTTCTCTATTCTATCATATTGACATAATTTTTTATCTTAACATTACATTTCATGTAATTACTCGATAGATCGAATTTTTAGAGAAACGTACCTTATTATAAATTTCTTTTTAAAAGAATTAATGCTAACAGATGGAATACTGCCGAAAATGTATGAAAATATATATTACTATATTTACTATATAGTATCAATTTTTTAAAGATCATTATGGCAAGATCTAAGTCATTTTGCAATTTCTGCCGCCTTGCTTCTCGGAATTGTTTTGTCCGAATGAGTCTGTTGCAAGAAAACGTAAGACTTTTTCAAAATGAATACTGTCTTTGAATAACCTGTTGTCAATTGTAAAACAAAAGTTAAGATTCGCATGACATAATCTAGCGGCAACAAGAAGTTAAACATTGAAGAAACTCGAGAAAATGATTAATCTATGTTCGGAAGCCAAAAGGTAAACGGCAGAAATTCCTAAAAAAATGTCATCCGATTGACGAAAGGTCTTTACTGTAGACATGCAGACAGCAGAAAAAACGATAATAACAAGCCGAATTAATTGTACTCTATAAATATAGATCTTAAGCTGCATATCAAGTCAGAAAAGCTATATGACACAACTGATGTACTTGAATCATCAGACATATAGGGGAAAACATCTAAATCTGGGGCCGTGGTATGAAGAGTTTGTTAGCTTGTGAAATTACCGCATCAAATCCGATCAAGCGCGCAAGGAAAACGAGCGCTTAGCATTATTCTCACAAAGCACAGAAACAAGGATAAAATATCATCTTCTCATATTTTCTATAAACATCGGAGGATACGACAGATATTTGTTTACTTTGTCAACAGTATCTTAAGAACAATAAAGATCGACAACAAAGATCAGCAGCGATCTTAAATTGCAGTATCTTATTTCCAGATCTGACTAGGTATTAAAATTTGGAAAAAGGTGATCCGTCGGAAGCATTATTCACAACAAAATAACAAGAATAAAGATCAACAAGGTAAAGGCAACGTTCACAGGCAGCCTCCGACACACCAAAGTAGGGCACACAGAAGACATTTAACAAAAACCTGAAGTGGACATAAGGGCGGCGAGAGGAGAGGGACATAGACTCTCTCAAATCGAGTGTGAAATATTCGTATAAAATTGTTGATTATGTTTATTTTGGTTCCAAGGGATCACCTTTTTTCTATATGTTTAAACAAGGTTGTTCTTAATGTAACTGTTTTTCCTTTTAATGAAACATTTATAGTTGTCATAAATTTGTTACTAATATAAAAACATAGACTTCCAAGGAATATAGTGATTTGTTTAGATTTTGTATTCTGTATGCAACTTTAACAACCACATGTTAAAATATGTCAATTTTTTAAAACACAATATTGTCACTATCAATAAAAATATTAAATGAATACATAAATAAAAAAAAATAAATATATGAATAAATAAATGAATAAATAAATAAATAAATAAATAAATAAATAAATAAATAAATAAATAAATAAATAAATAAATACATAAATAAACAAACAAATAAATAAATAAATAAATAAATGACTCAATCAAACCGGGTCTACAAAATTTCCATGTAATGTTGTTGTTTTCGTTGCGTCTGAAGGATCACCCCTTTTCGAGATTTTTAGTCCAGCTTTCAATAAATGTTTGCAAAAACGAATCTTAACATCTGATCAATATTTAATTGCTTCGTTTACACCAATGAACAAAACAACAAACATCTTACTGTTTTGACCAATATTCGTTATAAAAGGACATTACATATAAGTTATCAAACCACTTGCCCCTCATCGCTGTGGGTTCAAATCCCGACATGGACTTTGGATTCTTTCATGTGAGGAAGCTATCCAGCTAGCTTACGGAACGTCGGTGGTTCTACTCGAGTGCCCGTTCGTGCCTGAAAAAATGCACGGAGGGGCACCTGAGGTCTTCCTCCACCAGTAAAGCTGGAACGTCTACAAATGACCTATACTGTGTCGGTGTGACGTAAAATCCAAATCAAACAAAAAAAAAACATGTAAGTTAAATTAACATGCACTAGGGACTCTTGAAGATTAAACAATTTAACTTAATAAATTCATATACCGAAGCATAATAAAGAGAAATTATTTTAAGTTATAAAGATGTTCAATACTTGAAATGCTAAAACTCCAGATTTCCCCCACACATTCGATAAGAGATAATAGTTTTCTTCCTTAGCGAGTCGCTTATTGCAGATGATTTTAGAATATATAATGTAGGTGTTTTCAATATGTTGTCTGCCGGATTTTGGTTTTGGCCTTATAACCTCTGAAACTTTACTATTTAAATCTTCATCGATACAGACTTAACAGAATCTTGTCGGAGGCTGAATTACTACTACTTCTACTACTTAACATTACAACGTTTGTTTGTTCATTATAATTGTTGAATATCGCTATTGGAAAGTGAAATACCTTTATGACATAAGACTGTCGCACTTCCAATTTTGTCATTGCAATGAGGTCTACTCTACCATACGGGTTGTGATCTTGAATCGAAATGAGTTCCAATACTCTCTCTCAGAGTTTATACAATTATAGTGATCTGGAAATAACATCCACTGCAGAGAATAATAGCTTAGTTGTAAACGCCAGCTTCGCAGTGGCAGACGTTGTTGTTTTTGAAACATATAGTTATTATATAATAGGTTCTTTAATGACCACGATCATGGTAATAGGGTTTTCTACGAACCTTGCAATTCTTTACACGTATGCAACAAACAGGAAAATTCGTACAGTTGATAACACCTTAATTATCGGCCTGGCATTGAGTGATATTGGACAGGCTATTCTCGGTATACCGTTCGTTGCCGTTTCTAGTTTTAGCAAGCATTGGATATTTGGTCATTTTCTTTGTCAGTATTATGCGTTTATAACGACTTCTTTTGGAATTGCTCAAATTGCCATGTTAACTGTGATAGCCATGGAGAGGTATTTTGTTATTGTGCGACATGATAGACGACTAACGAACACTCCATGCAGATGTGTGATAATGATTTTGGGATGTTTTATGTACGGGTCATCTTGGGCAACTGGACCTTTGGTTGGATGGTCCGGGTATAAAGAGGAGGAAATAGGAATAGCGTGTTGTGTAAAATGGGAAATAAAAGACAGTATTGCACTGTCTTACACAATAAGCCTGTGTACATTTGGATGGTTTATACCCTTATTTTTGATCGGTTTCGGATATATAAGCATTGCTTGCTCAGTATGTATTTCATTTACCTTTATTCATATTTTTTTCTTTTAATTACCCGAACCTAAAATTAGTGAACCGATATGTACATTTGTAAGGTGTCCATGTCTGGGCAAAAAGGAACAAAAACAGTTCAATTCACCATGATATTAAATCTGTTATCGTTGAATATCTTTATTTAAAGACGTAAAATATCATTGTATAATTCAGCAATCAACTAAATAATTTAAGAACAATACTTTAAAAAAGGATGGGTATAACTTTGAAACATGATATAACTTAGAAAAAATGTTAGCCAAATAAATTTCTAACACTGTTCTCTTTACCTCAAATTATTATTCCGGGCAAGCATGCATTTGTTCATGATTTATTTTTGTGTCAAGTAAGTTGAATTTTGAAATGCATTGCAAAACGTAAAATTGTATAAAATATGTAAAATATGTACTGCAAATGTTAATTCGCATTATAAGTAATCATAATCATCTATGTATTCGTTTCTTATTGAAAAAAAGGCTTTTTTAACATACAATTTTATTCGGTCATACAATTACAAATAATGCTATTTCGAATTTATTTGAAAAGGTATTATAGTTATACTTATACCTGTAACAGTTTGTGGACACATCGCGTTAATTGTTTTTAACAAATTAATTTTTAATTATTAATGCAAAATTCATATCGCATCTTGATAATAATTTTAAACATTTTAAAACACATCGTAAGCAAGCTTGCCGAATTCAGAATTTACGATAATTATAATTACACGTAACCTAAACGATATATACAAGTATATTTTGGATTCTAATTAATTTAAATTTGTTATATCGTCATTAAAGGAACTCCACTTAGGTTTTTAAGCCTAAAAACATAAAATTTTAATTTTTCACATAGATAAATATGAGCACTTAAAACAGAAATATAAATAAAATTTAATTAAGAAATATACAAGAAATACATTGAAAATCACATGTTTGTGCTATTTTCACACCGATTTGAGTGAAAAGTGTTTAAACGCTTTTCAATTTGGGATCATTTTTACTATCAAAATAATTATTCTGGAAAAAACGGAGCAAGCAAATGATCTGAAATTTAGCACATGAGTTATTAGTATAGATCTACATCAAATGAATTAATAATCTCAGAAATATATTTCCACTCCCGTCATGTCAAAAATACTCAGTGGAGTCCCTTCAAATCGCTTTAAAAAAAAACCAATCGTTCAATGCATTTCGGAATTTTAAGGTACCCTCAAAGCAAGTAAATGTCAGAATTGTGATCGTTTGACAATTACCGTACGTACATACCACTGAAAACTATAACATGGAGTCTCGTTATTTTCTTTGACAATATCTTAAGAAGCATCAAGTACAATAAGATATTAATTTGTTAAATATATACCTTTAACAATACACAATGATAGTGTTTTTCACCTCTATCTGAACGATTGAAACAATTTATAAAACAGAAATTCGAATACGCTCTTACTTGCCTGTTAATATTTGCTAGGTAAAAATGCGGAAGTAAGACCGTAGAATAAAAGACCACATACACATATACATGATTTGTCGTATAAACCAAAAACTTTGCATTTGAACTGAATGAGGTCATAATGAAAAGTCAATTATGCCATAAATAGATATGTTGATAGCACATGACAATAAATCACAGAAAAATATACCTTGGTATTGATGGTAAGTGTGAGATACATGATCCAATATATCATATTTAGTTTAAATATGGCCGATATCAAACTGTTAAAAAAACAATATTATCATTGTATTCTTACGTTTAAGATGTATTATTAGGAAATCTATTTACATATTTTTTAAGAAATTTGATATACATTTAGTACTTGTGAAGTATTGTCCATTAGATATAATTTCCTTTTTTTTCTATTTCATCGTTTTAAATATGTTTTAATCAATATTTGATATACATTTAGTACTTGTGAAGTATTGTCCATTATAAACCAATCGACTTCAACTACTGTATGTATGAACTTTCTGGGGAAAAATGATATACCATATGAATTTTGAATTATAATTTATTACTATAATCTTTTTCCAACTTTTAATAATTTCAAATATATATATATATATATATATATATATATATATATATATATATATATATATATATATATATTATATATATATATATATATATATATGTGTACCTTATTTTTGATTTAAAACGATAACAAATCATTCAATCATTTTGAAAAGAAAATACAAACAAATAAAAAAAAACATTTTCGTTTACAATAAGGTTAGGGATGATGGCCTATAAAACGTAAAACAGTCTTCCCCAAGTACCATCACGATTCATGAAAAGCATAGCTGTCAGCTCCAGAACAAATCTAATTTGCTTGGAAACAACTATTTAATGAAACAAATAAAACATGAAATGAGAAGAAAAGCTACCTATGGTCCTTGTACGACATAAGACAATTCAAAATAGTTTAGTTGAGTCTAAATAGTCATATATTTTACAAAAGAGTGATGACGGCATGTGTTTTATTGGTCTTTGAACAATATTTATAATAGGAAACATTTATAAATAAGATAAAAAATGCCTAAATTATTACAACTCTCATTTTGTCAATTGAAAGTTACAAATATATTGAAGGGAAACACAAATTGATAATTGACATTTTCGGCGGAGTATAATTATAAATTAAAGATAATGTTGGTAAAATAAAATTGTGTATTTACTTTTAACGGTACACTCAGCATTCATGTATAAATAAGCATAAAATCGCTTTAAAGGCTTATTTTTATTCTTATTTCTCACAGCTTTTTTTAGTTTTTGTGTCCTGTTATTGATTTTTAAAAGTTACCCATTGGCCAAATATTCGAACCATCTGTGCAACTGTTTGCAACACTTAAGAAGAAAGCGATTAATTATTTTAAATAGAAAGTTTAAAACTTCTTTGTTTAAATTTTGCTACATTTCTTTTACATAATTTCATATTCAGCGCTTCTTTCTAGAAGTGATTATCAACTAAAATGCTCTGAAACTTATCATTTAAACATTATAAAACTCATGTTTGCCTATGAAAAAAAAAACACATTTATTTCTTAGGCATAATGTACATCTATTTTTCAATAGTTGACCATGATTCACATCTAGTTATTCAATAATGTGATCAGACACAAATACAATAGTTGTAAACTGAAACACTCATCAGATCAAGCATTGAAACATTTACAATTTAAATATTATATGAACGTTCTCACTAAACTAAATATGCAATTTTTACACCAGTTCAACAAGTTTTACATTAATTCAATAAACATGTATGTATTTATCTTCTGAACTAATAATGCAATATGTCTAATTTCAATATCGCCTAAAGGTGATCATTATAGGTGTGTTGTGATACGGACACATGCATTGAATTATTTAAAAAAATATTATTCAAATAAATAGTCATTGACAAGCTAAATTCAAAAACTTATATATATATATTAGATATATTTTTGCTCTTAATTTTGTGACGAATATATCTTTTTCATATTTCTATAATAAAAAAAAAAGAATAAAAGTTCAAGCTAAAGGCAAAAAATATAGAAATTTATCCCACATTTTGGTAATTTAAAAGGTATTTTATTATATCTAACATAAGCAGATTTTCACTCGAGATACCCCAGCCAATACATTACACTAGAAGCACTTTGCTATTGCAATTTATTATTATATAATTGGCTTAAATGAAAGACGATTTTAACACTTTGACGGAATCTTTACAATATCAATAAGAATATTTTGTTTAATTTCAATCAGTGAACGAATAAACGATATTGATAGGGCTCATGATTATGAGGATGACAATTTTGTTTATGATTTATTTCTGGTCTGAACAAGGACAATTAAACAAGTGCTTTAGTCTTTTATTTTGGAATTTACTGAAAATTGTAAGTGACTGGTGATTCACGATGTTGTTCAGTTGGCATTGATTTTTCTTACTTGGAAGCCATGCATGCAAAGCTCACATTTCTTGATTATCATCTCCTGTTTATTCATGTTTTCGTTGCGGCATATTTGTAACACAATATTATCATGATATTGTCACCGTATCAATGAAATCCTATACCTTTAATGGATTATCTGTCATTCATTAAAACATATTTCTTTTTTTTTTAAATCGAACGAATAAATTGTTAGAATGACCGCTGGTATGTGTCGTGGCTGCGTTCTTTTTAGGTTGCCTTGCCTTGCCTTGTTTTATCTTTGTCCCCTTTTTCCTTAAACTGGTTTTTGGCATTAAGTACACTGCGTACGTTTGGAAGCAAGCTTCATGTGACCTAAATTGTGTTGGTTCGCCTGAAAACAAAACCAAGCGAAAACTTTTGAAATGTTAAAAGTAACGTTATGCATATCCTAGTGTAAATGGTCTATGAACAGGGACATATCAGATAGAAAACAGTTTGCCATAATTCTGTTATCCTTCTTATTTCACTATGCAAAAAAAATCAATAATTTACCAAATGGAATTGTTAGATATATTTCAGAATTCAATTCTTTTACAGAGCATGATAGTATTTAAATAATCTATGTCGTTAAATATTGTATCATCAATATTTTTTCATTATCAATTATTGGTCTTTGACCATTTCACATGTAATAGTCAATCGTTTAAAATGCATTACTAATTCAGTACATATTTAGAGCGAAAGCAAATGATAATCATGACACTTTTAATTATTGTAATGTTTCAACAGTCGATTTTTTTTTATTCCTTACAATAAGTAAAATGGTAAAGTAAAAAGTTTAAATCAACAATTGAGCTGCGCCATGACAAAACCAACATAATGCGTTTGCGACCAGCATGTATCTAGACCAGCCTGCGCATCCGCTTAAACCATATAACAAGTAGAGGAACTGGCAGCGGATGCGCAGGCTGGTCTGGATCTATGCTCGTCGCAAACCCATTGTGTTGGTTTTGTCATGGCGCGGCTCAAAAAAATTAACTTTCAAGACCCGATTACTCTAGTCGTCTGCGTTAATCTGTTG